TTTTGAAAATTTCGATCGCACCTTCCAGACATTCTTCGGCCGACTGGGCATGGGCACCTGCCAGAAGGAGCCGTGGAAATGGGACATGAGGAAATGTTTTTGGAAGAGTGCCAGCGCAGCACTCAGTCGATCCCTGCATTTATATATAGACGTTAATTGTATAGTATATATATATATATAGTGAATATCGACCCACGGAGGTAAATATATGTCAGTATACATCTCAATTCAAACCTGTTTAATAATCTGACCAAGGTACCAACATGTCCCAACTATATCTCAAGATCAAGTATATATGGATGGAGTATCATCATAATCTGACCAAGGTCCCAGGTATGTGCCATTCTATGTCCGTTCCGGTCTGGTGCATTGACAACATGCGCCAATCAAATCAGAATATATATGCGGCTCCCAATGTTGTGAAAGGATTAAAAGGTTAAGTGGTTCACCCGAGTCCGTTCTCAGAAACATGTTACGTTTGCAAACACATCGGGAAACTTTTCCTCCACTGGCGCGAAGCGATGTTGTCAAAAGTATATTTGCAGCTAGCTTCATAGCTGTTGAGCATGTATTCGCACATCGGTCCAGGCAGCCCCGCCCACTCAGCCCCGCAGCACAGGCGATCTAGCCATGCATGGTAAATACATGTGCACTGACATCGCAAATGACTTAGACCCAAAAACTTTGAGAGTAGATTTGGATCCACCGCCAAGTGCTTATGAGCATGGTGCGGGCCATACCGTGTGCATACAATCCCCTAAACCCGTGGTAAATCTGTCAGCTATCCCAGCTATCCGTTGGCTCATTGGCCAGCAAAAACAACGCCAAACTAGCATTGTGCTTGAGGGTCTCGACAAGTGGGCCATCCTTTTTATAGTCCTCCTTGTTCTCCAGCCCGGTCGCCTTGGATAGAGGGAAAAGCAACCCTGCAAGAATCCTGAAACCATACAGAAACTTTGAACTCAGAAAACCAGCCTAGTATTGCTTTGATGTCACAGGTGAACTGCACAGCACAACAACACAACAAGACAGATCAGCAAACATTAAACATCTTTATCATAAAAAATGCTGAGTGACCGCAATGATTGCGCATTTGACTGCAGCAGCCATCTTGTAAGCTTCGCTTGCTGATGATTGGTTGAAACTGAAATGTAAAACATCTTTGCCACTCTCTGTACTTGTCACCCCGACGGAGCCCCGGGTCCAGTAGATGTTCTGAATGTAAAACATTTCAAGATCACGAGGAACGAAGCTGCGAGCTGCTTTCTTGAACGACGGGGATGTAGCTTTGTCCCCTCCCCGCTGCTGAACTTGGATGCAAAACATTCTGATCGTTTCACATTGGTTCCCCACATACATATGACTGGCCTTCATCTGCTGAACCATTGCTGCGGAAGTAGGTGGGGTGGACTTGGGCCTGCCCCGTGCCTTTGCCTTTGCCTTGGCAGAAACCTTTGGGTCTGCTTTCTTGCTTGCCCGTGACTTTGCTTTCGGTGATGCTCGTGTCTTGGCCGCTGCTTTTGCCTTTGGAATTTTGGCTGGTTGTGATTCGACATGCTCTGGCGTCTCATGTGCAACCTTTGCCTTTCTAGTCTTGCGCGTTTTGATCTTGTCACATGAAGATCCTGTTGGACCCGTTGCTGCTGTCGCTTCTGCTTCTGCTCCTGCATCATGTTCAGCATCATTTATAGCCAGTCTCGCCTTTCTCTTTTTGGGGCTGGGGCTGAGGGCACGAAGGGTATTCAACCTGCGGCTATGGGTTTTTTTCGCCTTCCGGGAATTTCCACCTCTCTTCTTGCATTTCTTACCATCCTTTCCCTTTCCCTTTCCTTTTGCCTTTCCACGTTTGGCCTTGGTTACTGCCTTCATACGTAGCTGGTCATCCCTGGTGACATACGGACGTTTACCTCCATCCCCTGCTGCAGAATCCGGCTTGGCCACATTGTCCGTGTCAGTCTTGGGCGGTGCCTGAGTGACGGTGGCCGTTGAAGTTTGGATATATATAATGGTCATATTGTCATCACATGGCCATATGGACTAACACCATGCATGTGCGTGGTATATATGGAAAAAGAAATGGTTAAACTTTGATTTGTAACATCTTGTCACGAACATGTCCAGGATATGTGTGTGTGGTGTAAATATGTGTAAATAGTAAAACCGAAGTTACTGGAAACAATCTCGTGTCATCAGGAGAATTGGGCTTGGATCTCTTCATTTGATAGTTGGCCCGCATCTTGGACGATGGGATGTCTGGGGATGATGTTGGAAGCAAAGAATCTGTTGGAACTGGCACCGCAGTGATGTCCACAAGCGGCTGAGTCTCCGCGGTGTCATGAGCCACTGGTCCAGGAGTGGCATTAGCTGCAATGCCTGACACATGGATTGAGTCCCATCATGCGCTATATAAATATTTAAAAAAATCCATGCATTCATGCACATTCGTTCAACAGAGGGGAGATCGATAAATCAATCGTAATTAACGGAAAGGGAAAGGATAGGTCATGCAGATCAATGGTATAGCTTTTGTTTCAGTCATGGATCCATGTTCAAGCCTGCTGGTCCCCGTGGCCGCTCGTGTAAGGGCTCAGACTTCATCTTCTGCACAGCCAGATTCAACCTGGCCTTCTTTTCCCGGAGCCTCAGCCGGAAGACGAACACCGTGCATATATCATCTGATTCAAGTATTTCTACGTATATCTATATATATAACATCATACTTAAATAAGTTGCAATATCGATCTGACCAGGTATATAATTTTGTGTTGCTTTGGTTGATGCACTGAGTTTGTCCAATGGCCTATATACAAAATATAAAGTTGCACTTATATAATGCCAAGATATATATCAACACGGCTTATACACGACTTGGTCCCCTACTCGGCCAAACGTTTTTTGGCCTCTTCCAAGTCCATGGATAGTTTTTGCTGGGCTGCGTCTGCAGCTGGCACCTGACCTGAGGAAAATGGTTTTGAACAGAAACTCATTCGCAGTTATTGGAACCCTGTTCTATATTTACCAGGGATCAGAAGACACCCATGAAATCAAATGACAACACATGTTATTGCTTTGGCGTCTTTGAAAAAAGTTTCAACATGCGTTGGGTCAACTTAAGCTGACCCCCGAGTCACTGAGCCCAACACTCAGGAGTGCTACCTCTTCAGGCTGTTCACCAGGAGCCGGTTCTGCTGCAGCAGTGGCGGGGGCTGCAGCAGCGGCAGGGGCTCGGGCTGGTTGAGCTGGCTCACCGACTAGGGCTGATGATGAAGCCGGATGGGTGCCGGCATCAATATCTACCCCTTCAACATCACTGCTCCCACTAGAGCTATCACTGTCTTCGCCATGGGAACTCTCAGACTCAGAACCTTTGTTGGAATCATCATAAGCATCGTCAGTAGAAATCAGTCCTTTCTTTCGTGCCTGTGCGGGATGAAAGTCATGTTTCCATCAGTGGACACATGTTGACACTCAGGCAGAAACACGTTGGTGGCAATCTTTGAATATTCAAATGTTGGTCATATATATTTAAGTTGCTGCATGCATGCATGCCATGAAAAGGCGAAACCAAACTTTGGGATGTCTTGGGATGTATCCTGGGTCACTTGTGCGCCTGACGTTCCTTCTTGCGTTGAAGTCTCAACTCAACGTTCCTGTTGATCTCATCACATAGATCCTGATCAAAGACCATATCAAGATGAACAACATCAATCCTTCCGAAGACCCATTGTATGATCATGAGGTCGTATGTAAATTGTCGATATTGATTGGTTAACAACGGAGCCCTGATCCTCAAATCAAACCTGGATACAGACCCCCGGTCCTTCAGTTCTGGGTTGAGGATCAGACACAATTTCTGAAAGTCTTTCTCCTGAGCGGAATGCCAAATCTAAAACTAGATAGGGATGATTGCGGTGAGATTGCCATGAAAACATCATCTAATGCGAATCAAAAGATATATTGTCATTTGCATGCAAAAGGACGAATGAGATATAAATTGTAAGCATTCCTGAACTCGAGACTAGGTTCTTCGCTGACTTTCTCTTTCCGTGTCTTCATTTTGACCAATCCAACGAACTTTCTGACGTACCAGGAGTCGCGAATGATTTGGTCAGTATCAACACTGACGCGGCCGCATTTGTGGTACAGGAGCTCTAACTGATCCCGAAGGGGGTGGATAGGGGGTTGGGGCATTCCCTCCGTCTCCACCACTTTGGTGAGAACAACACGTAGCAGCACATTGATATGTGCAGTGCAAGCAACCTTGACACTTTCCTTGGTTTCTCCAGCAAAGAGAACGTTTTCAGAGTCGCGTAAATGAGTTCTAATCGCTTCTTCTTTTTCAAGCAAGACCCCTAGATCACTCACATCCAACTTGGCTCTGTCAGCCTCCTTCTCCATGACCCCCCGCACAAGAGGTGCAGCACAACTCCTTGAGCAAAATGCTGCGTATATATAGAGTCATGATGTCACATGCGTTTCCTTTTTAAATGTTCATGGACCTTGCTGATCCCACTTGGTCAAGTAAACCAAAACCAATTGATTAAGTTCATTGCAACTTCATTTGTTTCTGCGCATCATTGATCATCTCATTTTTATGACCCTTCAAATTGTTGGATATCAGATTTTGAGAGAAGAGCACCCGGCGCAGGACCACGCCTCATATCTGAGTGGGCTGCGTTTGCCATGGCACCCCGCAACGGGTGAGGTGAGGTGTGTATGTTAAATTTGTATATAGTTGTTGAGTTGTGGGGGGAACCCAGAACTATAACTTGAGAATTGCCATTTAAACCACAACCCTTCAAAGCGGTCGCGTTCAGCTTTGTCTCACTATAGCTGGCGTAGCTCTGTGGTTGCCCCATGGTTTCATTTACATTTGGCCACCTTATCATTATATATCATTGTGGGCATCTCATATATGTAGCATTATATATGTAGCCATATATATAGTCCATCAAGATATACTTCAAACTTTCCAGAGACCTTGCTGCAAATTCGTCGCGATGTTCCTGGACCAGAAGGCGATGGCGCCTAAAAGGGCAGCAACCGGTTGATAGAGGGGAAGGTGATGGTAGATGATGGTCATATTAAATATAGCGTGCAATTCAAATGATATATATAAGGCATATATGATGAGAACGACCATTGAATATCATGAAAGGATAGAATATATGATTGAGATGGGTCAACATATATATGTAGTTATAGCTATATATACTACCAAAAGTGAGGTTCTCCAGGAAACCTAGGTTTTGCATGCATTTCACTCGAAAGCTCGGTTTTCACCCTGGGACCTACAAAAAGTAAGGTTTTGGTTTCGCTAGGTAGTGACAATTCTATGGTGCAAAATCTGGGGATATTGATGACTGGTAGATTCTTTACATGACCAGGTCGAGGTAAGCGCCCTGGAGGGCCTGGCCTTTTTCGATTGTGAGCATCTTTGGCTGTGACTGACTGATGTGTGGTCTGGTATTGTTGAGCAATTTAACGGGATTTAATGGCATTTAATGGGATTTTATGGTGGTTTAATGGGATTATATGGTGGTTTAATGGGATTTTATGGTGGTTTAATGGGATTTTATGGTGATTCAATGGGATTTTGTGGTGGTTTAATGGGATCTAATGGGATGTACCCTCTGGTAAACATACAAAAAGATATTGAAAATCACCACGTTAATAGCTAAATCATATTTTTATATTTAAATCCATATGCCATATATATTATATAATATATATATATATATATATTATATATTTTATATATTATATATATATATTACTCAAGCTAATGGAGTTATTTTAAACCAACAAACACATGCTGCAGTGAGTCAGTGCCCGTGGTCCCCCAGCACCGAGGCTGTTTCATCCCCGGCGGGAGCTGCGCCCCAACTGGACGACGCCCAGCGCGTCCCTTCTGGTGTCGCTATTTCCAGAGGACCAGAAAGGTCAAATTTTGAATTTTGGGGATAGATAGAGATATATATTATATATACATCAATATATATATATGATGTGTATATAGCACATATAGGGGTTCATAATATGTTCCTATTTCGGATGTAGGGGTTCATAATTGGGACACAATACACACCTATATATCCCAAAACTCGCAACCTATTTTGGGGTTAAAAGTATTTAAAAGTTAAAATATAGCTTTTATTATTGGGATGTACCCAATTTGGCCAATTTTAATCCTTTCATATGTTTTTTTTGCCAACCAACCAGCCCCCATTGTTGTCCATGACTCGACCAGGAGAGCTTGGAAGCAGCGGTTTGTGCAGTGCACCACGCCATCCTTTGCGCTGATGAGGTCGGTGGGCAAAGCGCCAAAGAGATCGTCTTGGAGGAGGGCCATAGATCTCATGGATTTGTTCATAGAAATATCTACCTTAATTGGATAATGATATTATATTATACGTATATATATATATACACATATTACTATTTGATATGTCTATTTCTGGTGAATGTTCCTGGAAACTATGATAATCTGTCAAATTTTGTGGTGTATCCCGAAAGTAATTATCCAAATGATTCCACATGATATTCAAGTATTATATATCACATTTGGATGAAAAAAATCATGACCTCACCTCGTGACGTCACTGGAATGATGATTAGGATTCAGGGAATCATCCTGACTGCTAGGTTCAGGCTAGTGAATGATTATGATTGAGTCAGAATTTTTCGTCATGGATGTCAATTGAGCAGCATCAAAAACCGCCATGGATGGAGTTTGTCTTCGGGTTCATGTGTGGAACCCCCGCGGTTCAAAAACCTCCACGCGCGCTTTCGCTCCGCATTGCGGAGTGCGCCAAGGTCGAGCCGCGAAAGTAGCGGCGATTTCGCAGGTAGATAGCAGACATGTTTTTAAATATTCATGTGTACTGTGTACCATCATTTTACGTTTTTTTTCCCGCGAAAGCAACTGCGAAAGATTTACGAAACAAATGTCGCAGCGAAAGCAAAAACTACCCGGTTTTCGACGATGGCTAGCTGGGAAATCCCCGAACTGAATGGAGGTTTGAATGAGACAATTCGCGGATTTTCCAATGCTGTGGTTGATTACTGGAGGGTATCAATCATATTTATTTCATATTTACTGTATCCAAATTATCCTCCAGTAAACTAACATAGCTACTAGTATAGAAAATAACAATGTTCAATAGATTTGGAGGGTCCTTCTGGTTTCTACTTTAAGATCTCCAAATTCTTTGAAAATCATCCTACTGCATTGCCATTTGCCATTCCAGGAAGGATCACCTGTGCGCCGGGCCTTAAGTGATCTGGTTTCTTCACCAGAGCTGTGCTATTTGCAATGGTATGCTCGAGCAGATGAATACAAGGTGCTGCTTGCTGCAGATCTGAACGAAAAAGAAGAAACACATGGAAAAACACTGAAAGCAGCGAAAGTTGAGATACTTCGATCAGGTTGAACCGAAATGAGGTTTGTTTTGTTCTATGATTTGCAGGCGTCCAGTAGGATGTGACAGGTACTTCATTCAGTCGTTATTCCTCAATTTTTGCCAGGATAGATGAGTCCAGATTAACATGAAAGCCCCTAGTTGTTCTGTCTCTTCATGCAGAACAAAATGGGATCCAAATCAAAAGGATGTTTGATTGAGCCCTCCCGCTTCCGGTATTGTGGGATTCGCTAACGTTCAAGTTTGTGCCTTGCAAAAAGGGACACAAGCAAGTCATGAGTCATTGGTTTTTTTTGGTGGAGTGATGGACAGTATGATTGCATGAGGTGTGTTTGCTTTTCTTATCTTTTCTTGCGTTTGCTTCTCTATATGTTGGATGAGAAAAGAGAAGACATCTCGAACTATCCATTGTGGCCCCTGTTTCTATGTGCTTTCCAAACAACTTCATGATTCCCTTGCGCAGATGCCCTCCAGGCAATGTCTAGGCCATTCTCCATCTTACAACTGATACTGTAGCAGTTTGATGCATGTTTGATCATTTTTGACACCACAGCTCGAGCAAGCAGAATCTGCCCTTTTGTCGTTTAAAACCATTCGCATGAGCTTGATCAGCTTGATGTTTCTGTTGTTTCTGAGTCACAAATGTTTATATATATAGTATAATATATATATATCATTTTAGATCCGGCTAGCTGTTAGAATCATTTGGACACTCTCCTAGCCACCTCCTTGAAATGAATTTTGAAGGTCGGTGACACGCGTGACCCCAACATGCAGTACGTGACTTTGCTGCATTGCAAACCGGACTGACAATTTACATTTGGGGGTTTCCATAAATGAGGTTACCCCAAAATGGACGGTTTTTAATGGAAAATCCTATAGGGGTAACCCCCATTTAGGAAATATCCATTTGATGATGATTGTGTTGTGAATAATTAAAGATGCCAGGTTTTTGCGATGAGAGGATTTTTGGCATGTGATGCCATTTCTTGAGAAAAAAACGTGAATAAGCTGAGGTGCACTATGCCAAATGCGTCAAGCTGACGTTTCAAGTTCAGCAAATTGGTGTAGCGCCACACGCTTTCTTGTCTGTGTAGCAGCTCCGCAAAAAGAGTGCAGCGTACCGGAGATGATGCGAACATCTGGCTGACTGATCCGCTCCAGCAGGACGTGGGTATGTTGGGCGTTTGCCGGAAGGCGCAGCGGTTGTGTCACCGGACGCACTGCACCAGATGCTTGATGGGTGGAGTATTTCATTGACTGGGTACTGTATACTAAAGTGGATAGATTGAATAGTACTCGCTGAAGCCGCCTCAAGCAAGTTGGCATTGGATTTCACTTTGGTTTGTCTGAAACTTTGAAGGGGAAAAAAGCACAATGGACTGGTTAATCAGCATGTTCCCCCATTATTCCCATGTTTCAAACACACCCATTTACACTTGATTTAAGACCGAAGTTGGACCGAAGTTCCGTCAGAGGTTTGGCGCACGGAAGGGGTGCGTGGATTTTTCCGCGGAGTGCGCGTGGATTTTTCGCTTACGCGTTCCGCCTGATGTTTGTGGCATGATGATCAGGGGTCAGCTACCAGATCTACCAACTGTAGTGTTAGTAATCTCAATGGTGGTTTCCATAGTCATGGGGGTATCCCAATAGCTGGATGGTTTATTTCATGGAAAATCCCCATCTACATTGGATGATGAACAATTTTTCGGGGGACCCCCATGACTTAGGAAACCTCCCAATGCCTCCCAACCATCCCATTGATGGATAGAGGTACTGCCACCTTTGCTTGGCAGTTCCGTCGGCATCAGAGGGCTGCGGCCGGGAATGGGGGTTATGATTGCGCCATGTTCAGCATTGACTGGGCCATCAACTTGAAGCGGTACTGTACAGCAAGGGCACCATAGTTTCCATATGTTTCCACTTAGGCACTTAACTCCTGATGCTCACATTTCCTCCCATGTGCTGAGACTTACTTCACACATCTTCACACAGTGACACTGGTGACACCGCGCTGAGGCTTATCGATCCGCGCAGTTTGCAGTCTTCGAGGCGAGTGTTGCCGCTGCATTGTCTTCATGTCATTGCCAGAACGCAAGTTGTTGAGACTCACAAACCATTGCACAATATATGTCATAGACTAAAATCCTTCCAATCTATAATTGGATGGTCAATACTCATGATCCATAAATATCAATAATGATCTTTCCAATATGTCATATGTTCTCATGCTTGCACAATGTCATATGTTCTCATGCTTGGACAGGCAGTTTATACTCGTCAAAAGGAGCTGGGCTGGGACCAAGCTGGCATCTGAGTCTTCTGAATTGTTGCCACAGATGATCAGATGGACCAGGCACAAACGAGACATGTTCATGATCTTAACGTGATGAATCCCACCATAATATATAATATCATATAATACTATATGATATTATATAAATATAGTATTATATGATATGATATGATATCAATGATATTATATAATATTAATAATAAAACTCATGGGGGCTGGGGGGGTCTATGGGGGGGGGGTCTATGAGCTTATCATATAAGGTACTGGTAAGAGCTGGTTAGTATAAACACTTGTTAGGGCCTTATTAGATTTTTATTAAGGCTGGATAGGATAAGGGCTTATTAAGGCCATATTAAGGGATTATCATTTAAGGGCTTATTAAGATCTTACTCCCCATGGATAGCTGAACTTCCTTATCCAGTGCTTGTCATAAAAATGATGGATGATGTAAGCCCACATCTGAACAAGGAAGAGGATTGTTTCTGGCCATCTTACCGTGGCGAAGTTTTTGTAGACTTCGCTGAAATCTAGACAATATGAGATCTAACGGTGGGTTTTGGCGATTGTCTTCAGATGTTTCTTGTGGTTTTTGATGATTACGTTTTTTTTTTTTGCGATTTTTTGTGTGATTCGTGTCTCATTTCCGTGACGTTTGATGTTTTTCTGTGATTTTGAGTGGTTTCGCATGGTTTTTGGTTTATATAATGTTTTTTTGAGGATTTGTGTGGATTTGGTGCCCTGAAGGTCATTTTCGGGGGGGGGTCTATGGTCAAATAGGTGCTGTTTCCCTGCTTATCCACTGCTTATCCACCACTTAGGGTTAAGCAGTGGATAAGCCCTTATTAAGCTCTTATTAAGCCCTTATCTCACCCCAATCCAGGTCAAGTGACCCATTTGCGTGCAAATTGCCTGCCTTGGGTGTCGCCTCCCCGCTTTGAGTTTTTCTTTTTTTTTCACTATCTTGAATACATGGGCCATGCGTTTGCTAATAGACTGTCTAACCCTGGAGATTTAAGTTGCATGTTTGTTCTCGCTTGTTTGTTTCTAGCAAACCTTGCCCATGCCACTCGAGCTAAATCCTGGTACCTCTCAATTTTGCAATAAATAACAACAAACCAACCTCTCCAGACATTTCTTGCAGAACAGAGTCATCATTGGCTTATCTCCATAGTTTATCCAGGCTTATCCAGACACCCCCCCCCATAGACCCCCCTAGGCTTCCATGAAAAACAATCACAACAGGGGATCATTCTACATCATCCCATTACAAGTGGATACTAGTGGTGATTATACGAAAATTCGTAAACCCCGACTGCGGCTACGTTTACCCACTGGATAGTTGTTGTGGGTTGTTTTTAATTATTGTCATAAACCCTTATAAACCACTATCATTGACTATCATTGTTTCAATATCATCATCCCATCATTCTCCAAGAATTCTTGTCCGAGAACTGAAAGAAACATCTGCAGGACATCCCGACATGTGGAGGTGCAAAGCCAGGTTTCCGGAGAACCATACCAATGAACATGAGATTTCCCGGCTTTGTCTGAAAGTAGGATACATAATTTGATGGTCATGTTTTTCCCCCATTTTCGTATTACTTAAAGGCCATGGCTTGAAGGCCATGATCCTCCATTTTACACACGGCATTGGCATTCCTTCAGTCGTTGTTGATATCGCCACGCCAAGGCTGTTATACCTGGCTCGGGCGGGTTGGCTTTTGCAACGGTGCGCGGCGAACTGCGCGTGGCGGGCAGTGTTCAAATTCTTTGGATTTTCAAATACTGAATCCATCCGAACAATTCTTCCAGAATTGTTCTAGACATAGAATGACATAGCTTTCATGTCTTGGTAGATTCACCAAATCTGTAATTCAAAAATTATCAGATCGTTTCACGTTATGTTTGTTTGACAGAGTACATGCTGTCATGCAACTTTGTAGAAAACACGTGTTTTACACATGATGGCACCCTTGTGGTTTTCCAAAGACGTCGACCAGCTGTTTTTTGGTCGCATTGTTTCCAAACTGTTGAAATACAGGGTGAGTGAGAACCTACCATTTGGGGATGGTTTATAGAATCCATTTATATAGTGATTTCGGGGATGGTTTATGATTGGGTTTACCAGATTTATAGACTTTTGATTGTTTCACGTTTATTGAAGTGTTTCAATGGATCATTAAATTTGTTATATGCTATGTCATGGTGTTTCTTAACATTGGGCTACCCCCCTTTTCACCATTTCCCGATTTTTTTATTCCAACCCTTGGTTTTCCTTATCTAAAACTGACCCATGTTGGGACGACTTAGGGCTTCTCCATGGCTAACCGCTGATGCCCACGGATGTCTCTGGAGGTGTTGGCAGGCATCAGCGGCTCTTCAGCGCGCGCTGTCATTGAGTCCCCCATTGAGTATGCCAAGGACTGTCCACTGGGATCCACTGGGCACTGGCTGAGGGGCCGGCGGTTTTGGCTCTCACGTCTAGAGGTGTGTTTTTGTTTGTTGAAGGACATTGTCGTGACATAAGTCAAGTACTTCATAGAAGTTGATAGTAAAGTTTTTCTAGTAGATAGTTTTTTTTGTGGGATTCATAACTATAAATAACCATCATAACCATAACCATAACCAACCATCATAACCATAAATCACAAAAGTTGATAGCGGATAGTAAACCATCATAATCAACATTACTATCATAATTACTATGGTTGATAGTTCACCCATAACCAATATAGATGGTTGATAGTTCACCCAAAGCCATAAACAAATCAGAACCAACCATAAACCATCCCACGAGATTTCTTGATGGCGGTCGACAGCGGCAGGTGAAGCGACAAACGGGGCAAAGTTGGCACTTCAATGAGGCAAAAAGCTGCGGAATTTTTTGGAGGTTTCCTAAGTCATGGGGGATCCCCAAAATGCGCAAAATGCTTGGTTTGTAATCCCCCTTGGAATTTCCTCTAAAGAATAAGACAACCCGGGTTGTCAATTTCTGCTTGATTCTTTAGAGAATTAACTTTGCCTGTTTGCAAGGGGTCGCGTTCTTTATGAAGGGCAGCCGGGTATGATTCTTTAGAGGACTATGTTGTGGAAGCATTTTTTTGCAATTTTGGAACCCTAAAATGACCTTCTCATTTTTTCAAGTGCTGGCCAAAACATGGCTCAAAAGCCGCAACAAAACTGACACTAGACATGATGAGAGTAGCAAAATTTTACATAGATTCATACAATAACTCCGTTCATCGTTTTGCCGGGCATAGCAAAATACAGACATTAAAATGTAGTAGGCATTTTGGTGGCCTTGTGTTTCCCTAATGAAATCAGCTCCAATTCTTTGATCCTTATTTCAATAAAAATTGAACAGAGGCATGATGTGGCATCCACTATAGGTCTGAATCAAGCGTCCTCAATGCCTGCTCTTTCTCCCTCAACTCATTCCGAGTGGACCGTTGGCCCAAAACAGTGCGATCAAACCACTCGTCCTGAGTGAGCTGATCCTTGAAAATGGCTGGGACGTAGTGATTCCGCTCACCTTCTTGAGCAAACTTGGCGTTGCAGCTGACTATGCACCAAGAATCAGGACTCTTGGTATCCAAGTCGTCACCTTCTCTCCGTTCGATCTGGATGTTTTCAGGAAGAATCCCGCACAGAGAATCTCTGGCACTGAGAACCTCCAAGGCCCGATCAGGCTGAGGATCAACTGCAATGGCTAAACTCTTGCCCTGCTTCACCGCAAAAAGAAAGGCATCTGCTACCCCTAGGAAGAAACCATCCTCATTCACCTTCTCCGAGTATTTCTCGACCATCCTCTCTG